TATATCAGAGCTGGCCAACAGTATCCTGCATGAGATTCTTTTTTCATATGAGTGACATTGTGATCTATTAGTACAAAAGAAAAGTATGAAGTAATAAACTAGAGATATAAAACAATAATATTTATTTTAACAACAATACAGAGGGTTCATAAAGCACAAATACATTATTTGCCTTCATTAAAATCTTTTAGGGAAAAGGAGGAGGACTGGATATGGATATGGCAGAGTTCATTAGTGCTATCCAACTAAAGAAATTGATGTCTTCCTGGAGATATTTTTTTAAGGAAAATGGCTTGCATTCACATTATCCATTGGAAGAACCATGAAAATATACTGGCAGCCTCTTTGCTAGGATTTAAACCTGAGATTGGCAACATAAGCATTCTTTATGTATTTGGCCACTAGTGGGCCTGAGAGAAAACTAGAGACATGATGCAAAAAAATGCAGCATATTATTTACATTGTCCAGATTTTATTTCTCTACCCTTCACTGTGTTATGATGATGTAGCAAATAACTAGTTCAAAGAATTTCTTTCTTTCAATTAAAACGTATTTAAACTGGAAAGTGTGAATTGTGCTAAATAAGTAATATTTTCTCAGCTACATTCTATGGCACCCTTCTTTTATGTGTTTCAAACACAAGCTTTTGACTTCAAACTCATTTTTAATTTTATTTCCAAAACTAGGATCTGTACAATTTGCACCAAATACTGTAATTTAAGATAAATTCGCCTTCCTATCAAGTTTATTTTAAAAATGTCTGTGGGAAGGAGATGACTATACTTTGAATCTTAAAACAGTTTTAAAAATCTTTGCTGACAGCTTCAATTCTGAGTTCACTTTTGGTTGAAATCAGTTCATGTCAGAATGTACTTTCGCAATGCTTTAAAAATGCTTGTGTTTTCCATCTTTAAAATTTTTATTAGCTCTTACTTAACAAATCATTGCTTAACACATGTTTATTTTCACTCTATAAGTCAAGGTTAAATCATTTAATCTCTTGAGGACCAGCGTGCGAAGAACAAAGCGCAGCTACGGGACCGAAACCTCTGAAATGGAACGCTGCCCCCAGCCTACGCATTTCCAGCAGTTAAGTCTACTTTTACAAAAAAATTCATATAAAATCAGCATTTTAATATAATGACCTCGATTTTAGAAGTTACGTACGTAATATATCAATTATTAATGTATTAATATAAAGAATATCACATTAATAAAAATAAATGAAACACGCAAAATATTAAAATTATAACTATAAGCATGAAAACAAGTACTATACACAAAAACCAAAATTAGAAATATGACATGTAAAAGAAAATTAAGCAACAATTATCCGTAGGTTTGTGCAGAATAATTCAAAATCAGAATCAGCACACAGGACAATGGCGGCTTTTTTCGCAGAGCATAAGCAAGTAAGATGCATCATGCATCGGGAAAGCTAATATCTTCCCCTTCTGTAAGAATACCGTAAAGTTACTTTTTAATTAACCAAGAAAGCATATGTTAAGTTTTAAAATAAATATAAAAATGGACAACTGTTCTGAGTTTTTGCATCACAGAAGTTCGGCAATGTTACACCCGCTATAGTCAGCTAAATGCGTTTTCCCCCATTCTCCTAAAAAAAATGAGAAAAGAAAAAAAGGAAAAAGAAAACATTGAGCTGGATGCATTTTCCCACATTCTAATAATGAAAAATGCAAAAAATAAAAACAAATACAAAACAAAACAAAATTCCTAATGAAATAAACAAACACGCCGGTGTCCCTTCAATTTAAAGATCTGCGATTCCCAGTTTGTTTAAACGAATAAATCTATCAAAACCAGAAGCACAGAACAGAAACTAATGCTCATAGATGAAAGTCAAATGCCACATGACTTAATCGATGTGAAAACTGTTACCATTTAGCATCATCTACTGGCTAAATGTTCAATATTCAAATAAAATCAAAAATTCAAACAAATTGTTCCGTTTTCATGTCATGTATACACAATGCTGGGCTGTAGAGATGGATTGGAGCTCTTCACGTATACGCGACGCTGGTCCTGAACAGGTTAATGTTGAACTGAAGTCTGTTAAAAATGATAAACAGAGTAACCCTGATGGTAATTATCACTTCTTTGAGAAGAAAACCTTTTCCATTTCCTAATAACTAAAGAAACCTCTTATAAGAAATTAACTTTCTCAGAGTCAATGTACTAACAGATCTTTGTTATTATTCCCATTTTCTAATCCAAAAATATGTCTAAATAATATTTCGGTGAAATCACATTTGTTAAATCCTCTTAACAGAAAATTTGTACATGTGCCAAATTTCTATGTTCGTAAAACTTACCAGTATATGACACAATCTTATATTAAATGCGGTGTTTTTGCGACTTCCTTTGCTTTGAAAAATTATCACTTTGAAAGCATTACACAATAAAACAATTAATGAAATTTCCTATGAGTGGAATACCCTAAATTATATGTACATATAATTTAAAAACAAGGAATGTTGTTTTGGTGACATAACTTCTCTTTTTCTTTCATAGATAGGTATCACTTCTACGAGCTCTACTTTCTGCTATATAACTGCCTAATATACTTGCTTTTCCATTTACTGAATGCTGTAAACTTTCAATTTGAGTGATTAAATCCTTTATATGTTTAAAATTAAAAATCTTCTGAAGAATTCTTAAAAAAGGGGGGGGAGACATCAAATCATGCTTCTTTTTGGCAGGCTAATTAATGGCAGACTCTTGATGGCAGAACAGATATTGCTACTGTTTTATTATTTATTTTGGTACTTTCAGATTATGTGCCCAACCCTCAGAAGAATCAACAGGCAATGCACTAGGTCATTAAAATACATAACCAAGAACAAAAATGTACTTATGTGTCAATCCAGGTACAGTTACATGAGCATGACAGTGTGGAATTTGGCTTTTGAAATTGGTCATGTTTATAGTTCACGGTTTTGATGGTCATGTTTATAGTTCAAGGTTGTTTTGATTAGTGCATGCTTTTCTTTTCCTTGTATGGAATCAAAACTGTAGGCTGAAGTTTGCCTGCTAATGAAAAAGAAAGTATTGCATTTCTTTTGAAATACGGCATTTTGCCTAATATTAGAGAGTGCAGAAGTTTTCAATCCATGAATTTGTATTTGTTAGACAATCAAAATTGTATGCCAATGCCAGAATTGCAAGACATTATCAACTTCCGAGTTATCAGGATTTTTGGTTTCTGGTATGAATATTTTTGTTATGAAGTATATTTTATTATTAACAAAATGGTGCATTAACCAATCTTTTGTTTATCTCTGATGTCACATGATTATAATAACTGTGTTGCTTGAAAGTAATATATAAAATGTTCTTAAGTGATTGCAATGATCAGCTGAATTATGAATTCTAAGTTTTTTAAAATTTTGTTTTGCACATTTTTAATTTGTTGCATTTTTTCATTTTGTTAATTAGTTGCTGTTTTAGCAATTTTGAGCAAGTCACCACTTTCTAAAATGGTTGTCATTTTTTCAGGCATTAGGCTGGCAAAACATTGCCTGCCAATGACTGTCGACTTTTCAGGAGGGTTAAGGGGATAATCCAAAAGTACCTTTATTTTTAGGAATACTGCTTAACTTAATAAAAAATAAAAGATAATTTTTAAATCATCACTTTCTGCTTTAACTCAGAATCCCATAGATACTGATTTTCTATTTGGAGTATATCACCTGAAGATGTCATCCAATATTGCCCTTTTCAAAACAGCTGCAAATAAATTGCATATTGAGAAATATTTAGGCTTAATAATTAAAAAATGTAACTACAAATCTAATCATTGTGATAATGCCATAGTTTATTTTTTTTTCCTATGCTCGTGACTAAGCTTCAAAATAAAGAATTCCTTTTACCAAAAATTTACAAAATTCACAAGTATTCAAACATAAAAAATTTTACACCTAAATTTCATTAACCTGCTCAAACAAGTAAAAGGGACATAGTAAAATTAACTACAAAAATAATAGCAAAATAATTGTTAAAAACTGGAACACATAAAAATACAGAAGAGAGAGAAATAGCTAAAAATTGAGAGGCAAAATTAAACATTATTAAAAAACAGAATGAAATTATACCCCCCCCAAAAGAAAAACATATGGGCATTATCTAAAAGAAATGAATGGGAAGATTTAACAAAATGCTTTAAATATTGTGAAAATACACCACAGATTTAATTCCATAGATAGTTCATAGGTATTTATATTTTACAATACTTTTATAAATAGATTTTTTATTATTTATTTTTATATCTGTAATTCAGGAATTTATAACCTTCCATTTAAAACTTTTTTTCATATTTGGGTCTGGGATAATGATATATGAGATAATTTTCTTATTGTGTTTTAATTTTAAACTCAGTGATCCTCAATGGATGCTTTTCATTTGACCCATTATCACACTAATGAAGCCGCCCACCAATATAGTTGTTAGCAAGGTTGACTGCTATTACCAATAGGCTTGTATTTGAATTCTATGCACAGTGTCCCTACGGCAAAAGGACAAACAAAATATACAATGAGCTGAAAGTGCTCTCTTCCCTGTCCCTTAAATGTTCTCCATCAAAATTTGAGTGGAATAGCACAGTTAGTGTGGTGGGACTATACCCGTATGACTATGAATGGTGAATTTTTGATGTCCTGCCCACTTCTAACTGTACCTATCATATTAATGATGACATCCAGAATAACATGTCTCCTAATGTTATTCTAACTGAATTTCTTTCTCTATATTTTTAATAAAATCAGCCACAATAATATTTAATATATGTAACAGATGGGAGCTCATGATCAATTCGAAAGCACAAGACAATCAACCAGTCGGGCAGCTCCATTTACTATCATACATATCAAAATATTTATATAATTAAATTGCTGTAATGAAAAGTAATGAAAGTAATTGTAATTAAAAGTAAAACTGTTGTTATTATAATTATTACCTATAATAAAATAAAATTATTTCTTACTTTCAAGCAAACCTGCATAATGCATGAGTCGATGTGCTGGACGAAGTAAAAATGAAGTTAAAGGAAGATAACAGACTCTTTGCATTTCAAAATCACAATACATTCTCTCAAAATGTGTGTTTGAACAATATGCACTATTAAGTCGTTCAAGTATAAAAGGCAGCTTTTCAATGTAACCTGTATAAAACTTCAAAAGAACATACATTTTCAAAGTTGCACATTGCAGAAAGAATTTTAACAATTTTTAATCATCAATAATTAATAAAGGGAATGCACACATATAAATACTTATTTAATTAAAGTTTTTTTAACAATTTACCACTATGATTTAATAACCTAGTAATATGCAACTGCAGCATTTTAGAGACTAAATAATGATAATACACATTTATTAAAAATTTAATAACATATTGTCAATCCAGAAAGATTTTCATGATCACATTTCTGAATTATGAATGGAATGCATCTACAGAATACAATATTGCCTTGATGTAACCATCTTAAAAATTGGAAATTGGTACTGCATTTTACATTCTTTAAAATCATTAAACAGACATTTAGTATGCATTTGTTATTAGATGGAAAATAATTATCAACTACTTTTTTACCTTTTTTAGTGCTTAGTTACATTACAGAATTTACAATGTGATATGTTGTATATCTCAGTTTTAATAGAATTACAGAGTATACATACAACATTAAAAAATCAAAGCATGAAACCTACCTCGGTCATCTGAACTTTTCGCAGCAAGATATCGCCAATGCCTTGGACATGAGTTTGCAAAGGCATTCCAGTTCTACCTTCCCTACAAAGAATGACATAATAAGAAAATAATTATTAACAATCAGATAAAAATACACATTGCTGAAGCTGTACAAAGAAAGAGAAAATATCTATATTTGAAATCTTTCACTTTATTTCAAGTTTTTTATTGCTTTCAAGTGACATTTAAATAATTAAAATCTGCAAGATACATCAAAACAAGCAATTTTTACTAACCCAAGATCGAATTTTCATTATAACATTCACTGTTACAATTTTGAGATAAATTTTAATAAAAAAAAAAACTATGTTTAGAATGGTCTGTGCTTTGTAACAACAATCCTCTGGATGACCTTCTTACTACAGTGCTCCTTGTATAAATTCTAGAATTCAAGAATTTTGTGTTTGCAGAATGCTGTAGATCTAATCCAGGGATGGGCCAACTCCAGCCCGCCGGAAGTTTCTATCCGGCCTGCGGATAAAATTTTAATTTGCCGGTCCGAGGCAAATTAAAAGAAGTATATATTTATATATTATATATCTATCTCCTTTTCTACTTTGTTTAAATATTTTTTCTTCCTTTTTTTTCAAAGGACTGATGATCTTTTTTACTTACTCTATTTTTGTTCTACAAAACATAAATCGACAGAAATTGCAAGCACAGACAGCTTTCAATTGGTAAAGTATTAAAAGCAGAAGTTCTTTATAAGTTATAGCTGCAGATTGGTGGCAACAAGGTTATCTCTTTCTCGAGCAGACATATGGGAATCCAATATAGGTTGTAGTGTTTTGATGGCCCCAACTTGTCAGCAACTTGGTAGTGACTGCTATGAACTGTAAAGTTACACAAACACGTAGGAAGGGTTTTAAAGCCCTTTTTATTCCACTTTAGAAATAACAGCTGCGTTCCCTTGACACTCACAAACTACGCTGACTTGGCGGTTTAACAAAAACAGAAATGTGAAACTAAAAATTAATGATAGGATGAATAAATAACGAGATCACTACCTGCGAGGCTCTGAAATCGTAACTAACTTAACTGCGTTCTAAGATACAGCTGAGATTCAGCGAGCTTACTGATTAAGCAGTTGAAAAAATTCAGCAAACTGCCGAGATAGGCACACAGGCCGAAACGCACGTTTCTTAAATTTCTACCTAGCAACCTTCATGTTCGCGATTCAAGAAGCACACATACAATCTCGTTTCCCTTCTATTTAAACTCAACTTACTTCTGCTAAAATTTGAATATACTGCGCGTTCTACTGCAATTTACATACTCTGGCATTGGCAATTCTAGGGGAAAGTAAAGGCTTGACAGGAAAGATAGCTTAAACTTAAAATAAATGTTAGTTAAAATAAATATAAACCCTACAAGGTGAATATAGACCTCTTAGGGAAAAACTTAATCTTAATTATCTTAACTTTAAAATTAATAAAACTTAATCTGTTTGCTGGGCATCTAGCGAAGAACGACTTGTCTCATTTCCCGAGGTTAAATATAATACCCTCAGTAAATGAAGAGAAGCTTAAAAATTATGAAGATGGCTTAAAAAAACTGCATTTTGAGTTCGAATGCAGATTTTCAGTGCCATTCAAACAGAACTGGATATTTTTACCATGGCTTTCAACGTAAATTGTGAAGCATTGAGATCATATTTGCAGCTTGAATTAATTGATTTGCAATCTAACAATCATCTCAAGCAGTTGTTTCTAAATAAGCCAAAGTTTCAGTTTTACAAATCATTATCGAAAGTAAGTTTACCAAATTTAATATCTCATGCCCATTAAATCAGTGCTATGTTTGCTTCATCTTATATATGTGAACAAGTGTTTTCAACTATAAACCTTAGAAAGAATTATTTCAGAAGTAGACTGACAAATGAGCATTTAGCCTCGTTCCTTATAGTCAGTATATCTCACTTCGAACCTCAATATAAGGAACTTTTAAAAATGAAATCGCAATTTCATTTATCTCATTAACATATTTAACTTGTAATACTTGTATATTGTTTTTAAAATTTTAGAAAAACTTATCTTGGCCCGCCAAACTTTTTTCTTTCGATTTTTGGCCCATGGCCGAAAAAGATTGCCCATCCCTGATCTAATCTCACTACTTAATTCTATAACTTACAAGAACAGTGACACCATTTTAAGATTCAAATATTGTACAAAGAGCTTTCTAGGAAAAGACCATATATACACTGAAAGAAAACATTTTCTTTGACAAGTTATGCTTGAAAAGGAAACTAGACTCCAAATTCCTGAACAATATTTCAGAAGTTAAAATGATTATGAAATAGCAAATAGATATAAGGATTAGATTGGATTACTCAATTGTGGCAAAGCACGCAAGGGCTTTCTGCCTAAAGGGAGGGATGCCTTTGTGGAGGACTTTCTAAGGGAAACTGGCTCGTATACACGCTACACATGGGGAAAACTATGAAAATGTCCATGCAGCCAGTCCGTTCGCGGGATTCAAACATCGGAACGAACTACCAGTGTTCAGCGTCTTTAACGCTCAGCCGCTGGTGGGCCCAAATAGATATAAGGAAAAGAAAACCAATGTGATATTTTACTAGTTTTGAAATTATAGCACAGGTGTGAAACAAAAATTCCTTGTTTTTATAATTGTATTTAGTTACATCAGTTCTGAATGTCACCAAGCATATCAACCCCTCCACCCAAAGATACACATAATAACTTAAGCTGCTAGAAAGGTTGAACAGTCACTGCTTCTGGTTAGTACACAACATCTTAGAGAAGTACTTTTAGAGTTCAAAGTAAAACATTTATTCATATACATTAATACTACTCAGGCATAATACTACTTACATACATATACATTAATACTACTCAGGCATAATAATACTATTAATACCATACTCTTAAAAATATGTTGCATAATTAAACATAAACTATCTGAGTACCATACTCATCTGATGTCTTAAAGAACCTGTTTTCAAAACTAAGGTATAAGGCAAAATTTACTTCAAAAAGATTGGAACCAAGATTATGATTTTTTATAACTAATTTTGCAAGTAAAATTGTGTTTTATTTGTTTATGCAAAGAACACTTAAATTAATTATCAATACATTAATGTTGCAGAATCTTTTTTAAATGCTTACAAAAGAATTTTCTGAATAGAAGTATTTCAAAATTTACACAGCAACCTTAACATATATCATTCTTTTCAAATAATAATTCAAACTTGCTCCAGATATCATAAAACATAAAACCAGATTTCACTATACAATTGATAATATTTTGATAATTAAAACTACTTATTTTGACACTTGTTCAACAAAAGGTCATAATAACAAATCATCATTATTAGTCAACTCATCAGCCAGTAGCTTTCAATAAGTCCAACTGAATACCAAGTTAAAATACATATAAAATTTCCTTCATAAGTTTAACTTTTTTTAACGACAGAAACATTTTTGCCGCTCCCTTCAGCTTAGAAAGGTATACATTATCTGTAAAGACAGTCATCATACTCCTTATTCTGAATCAAAAATTTAGTCTTTAAAAAAGAAATAATTTTAATTAGCTTTGTACATGACTTGTAACCACATAGCATTATTAAAAGGTTTAAAAAAATGAAAAATTTCACATAACCACCCTGCTTACAATATTTCTACTAATTTTAAGAATTGGCTATTGGATAATTAATTTGTTCCACAATCCATTACACTTTAGATGGACTAAGAAATAATGAAGATTACTATACCATGTAGCTAGCCTGTGTTCTAACTCTCTAAGCAATGAACAATGAAATTCATATAAAGGGTCAACAACTGCAAATAATACAGCTAAAGCATCAGTAGGCATATTTTCTTCTTTACTAACTTCATCACGAAACCACTGAAATATGAAACAATAAATATATCAAAATTACATTTGTAAAAGGATACACAAATTTCTCACAATGCATAAAATTATCACATAAAGAGGTAACAGGTGATTTGTTTGTTATAAGGCAAAGTTTAATTTTAATAACATAAATGAAATGTGAAAAAAATTAATAAGGCATAATTTCTAACACAAAAATAAAACTTGGTTTAAAAAAACTTAAATTAAAATACAATAAGCCTTAAATAGACAAAAGAAACATTACATTCTTTAAAATACATTCCATTTATAGAGAGAAAGCAAAGAAAATTTTTGTTTTATTTTATGCAGTTGATAACTATAGTTACTGGCAAAAAAAAAAAAAAAAAAAAAAAAAAAAAAAAAAAAATTCTTCTGAATATAACAACTATCATCATGAAGTTTATTGGAAAAAAAGAGAGAGAGAGAGAGAAACTGCATTTATTAATTTTCTTCATTTGTGAGATTTGAGTTAAAATTAAAGTAATTTGAGTCTTAAAAAGTTAAATCATAAAGGACATCATTTTGAAAGCAGTTCAGACATTCAGAACAGTTTAATTTAAACAATGTCCGTAACAGATGCCAAATATCAAGACTGCATTTTATGGCCTACGATGAGCAAAAAATATCACATGAATTTATAGAGGGAAATGGATACTTTACGAATGGAGCACTAAAAATCACAGTCGAGACATGAAGCCTTGCTGGTTGTTCTTAAAATTTCACATGCAGCTTCATATAACAACTGAAGAAGCATTAAAGAAAATTCATACTGTAAAAGCAACAACCTACTCAAAAAGCTAAGCAGCATTCCAAACCCACACCAAAATCCAAGGTTGTTCAAATTTGCTCAAAGCATTTTATCATCTACGCTCCACAACATTTAATGGGAAGATGGGAAATAACGCATTTAAATGATGGTTTATAATCGGTAAAAAATGTTTTTTTTTCTTACAAATATTAACACAAGCATATTGCACTCTTATGTTTTCGCATGTTGCTTGGAATATCATGACAAAAATAGAATTCAATAAAGCAAAGAATTAATTTCGTACAGTATACTTCTTTCAGCCTATTTACATTTTAAGAACAGCTATCTATTTGTGCCAAAATATGGAGACAGGTGAACAGTAATTTACATTTTAAAAATCTGCCAGCTATTTCCTCCTGTATTTTTCTGACTTAAACAAAGGAGTTATACTATAATTATCATTTTGCAATACAAAAACTAAAGAAATTCAAAATTATATAAATCTACAATTTGGTTATGGGATAGTGAATGCTCATTAATTCGAATTCGGTTAATTTGAACTAATCCAAAGGGACCCCCAAAACTTGCATTGGAATTAATGTTACAAATATCCCATTCATTTGAAATAAATTTTTATCGCTTCGGTTAATCTGAACAAAAATTTGACAAAAACATTTCTTTTTCCTTGTTTAATGGAGAAAATACATGCTGTATTTATTATTTTAGGTGTCAAAATCATCCTTATTAGTTTTCTCTGTAAAGAGGCACATGCCTGCATTCCTAGATTATTGCATTTCCCCTAACCGTTAGTGGATATTGTCCTACTATCCATCTCTTATCTGTGGTTAACGGACAAAGCTCCCTGGCCGAACCTGTTTCCTCGGATTCATTCAGAGCCCTTTATGAATGGGCCAGGTAGGGGGTAAGGGGAGAATCATTTCGTTATTCATTATCAATTTTCTTAGAAATTCAGAAAATACAATCTATACTACAGATTCTAGAGAGCTATGTCAGTTATGACTGCAGTGGAGACCAGTTAATGTGCTCTAGTTTTCCATTCTCAGTGTGTGGTGTAAACATGTAAAAACTCAGGATGTCTAGATGTGGAAAGTACAAACTCTTAAATTTGGAGACAAAAGTAGAAATTTTAAAGAAACTACAAAATGGCAAATGTAAAACAAAGTTATCAGCTGACTGGAATAAAAAAAAATAATAATAAAAATAAAAATTAAAAAATTAAAAAAAAAAACTTGTCAATTTAGAATTTTAAAAGTAAAGTCAGACATCTGCAAGTAGTTTTTCTATTTCTTTGGATACATAAGCACGTCAAAAACAGCACATTATTAAAATGTGTGCATAGCTAAGTTGCAATAAGAATTTTAAAATACATACAGTGATACTTTAAATAATTCTGTTTTGATTTTAAACTAATAAAGAAACTTTGGCTCATGCTATGTTTGATAATTCAGCCTGCAATTATAAAATGCATTTACTGTGTTAACACCATCTGTTGTGTATCAAAGTCATCCGTCAGTAAGAATACTGGTTGCATGTGCTCAGTGCTTAACTCATATCTATTACCCAAGACATCCAAAAAGAGTGAGAAAGAGAAAGTTGTCGCATCAGTCACTGAGTTGGGGGAAAAAAAAAACTTATAGTGAATATTCAGTATGGTACATATGTGGTGGATCTGGTTAACACATTTAAAATGTCATTCGAGGAAGTGTACTGTTAAAAGAACAAGACAATGAAAGCAACAAACAGGGCTAAAAGTGCAATAACACTGACTCCCAAAATATTGCATGTTAGTGTGGATAAATAAGAAACATTTAGCTCTTTAAATTATCTTTATACTATTATTTAGGAGAAAGGCCAAGCAACAGCTCAGTGACCATAGAAATGCATCCCTGGTACTAGTCTGAAAAAGGGGCATTTAACCCCTTAACTGCCGCGGGCATATATATACGCCTTGCTCAGCCGATGCGTTAACTGCCCCGGGCGTATATATACGCCCTTACAAAATACTATCAGTTGCTTTGTGCTGCTACCCGTTAAACTATTCGCAAACTTTTGGAATGCAACACCAGAATGACCTTGACGAAGTATGTGAAGGAGGATATTATTTCAGAGAAGTGTGGGGAGAAATTGGAGAGAGGGACGTGTCTAAAGTGCTGAAAGTAATGACTGCGTGGTATTGGCTAGTGTTGTTTGAGTAAAACGTATTTTTTTTTTTTTTTTTTTTTTTATATTCTGTCCCTCCGTTTTCGTTTACTTTTGTAGTAGGTTCCAGGAATAAAGAAAGATATAACGGATGTTTCAAACCCATTTATCTTTCTTGAATTATTTTTTGATGAACTGCTCGTGCTTTATATTACTACTGAAACTAACCGTTTTGTAGACGAGTATATGAACCAACAACACCTTGCAAAAGAAAAATCAAGAACAATATCGTGGCATTCAACCAATTCAGAACAAATATATGTTTTTATAGGCATACTGATTTCACAAGGTATATAACACTGAAACATGATATTACACTTTACTGGTCTAAAACTGAATTGATCGAAACCCCATTATAGGGACCTTTTTTATTATAAAAACATCATTTTTATTATACTTACATCTTTTTATTAGATTTTTACTCAAAATATTAAATTTTGTGCATGCATTTTTTTTTTACTGTTTATTTTGTGAAACTAAACAATTTTTAGAAAGTAAAACTTGCTCTTATTTTCCCCCTAATTAATCGCATAACTACGCGCGGATATGTGAAAAACCGTGGCACTGGGGAATGAATCTTGTATGTTTTCCACGGCAGTTAAGGGGTTAAGGGAAGTAGAGGGTACTTCAATAAATTTAGTAAACAAACTGAAATTTATAGTGCTATGAAACATGATCTGACAGAAGATGAAAAGCTTTAAGAAATAAATGGATAGTGAAGGATCCATGTTTCGAAAAGTGTTAGATTATGATGGAACAGGCTTCTAAGAGAAGATAATACTTAAGAGGGCCAAAACACAAAAGAGAAAACTCCATTGCAACTTAAGCCTTAAAATGGGTTTATGCTTCTGCTTTATGATAAAAGTTAGTGAAGACTGCTAAGCTACAGTGTTTGTTTTAGGTACCACTTTAAAAAATCTATACATGTTTAAACAATGTAATCAAAAGCAGAATCTACATTAAGTGGCTTTAAATTAACATTATGTGTGTAGGTTGAAATTTACTTCTCCAAGCAGATTCATGAACCTCTAATGAATGCTTATCTTACTAAAAAGAATCTACCATTCACAGCTCTTTTATTAATGGCTCAATTCCTGCTCATTCTTCAAGTTTAACCCATTAGCCGCTGGTGTTGCATTGACGCAACGGTCAAAATAAATGCCTATATAAATAAAACTACCTAAGATATTTTATACCAGCAGATGATTTTGTGTAGGGAATATTATGAAGATTACTTCTGTAAAAAATGTTTGCCTTCTACAATCATTTTGTTTATAATAATCTCATACTTTAAGCAGAATTTAAGCAAAATTTTCGACCGGGTATTTTTGCTGAAAATATTTAACGAAAGAATCGCCATCTTTATGAGTGATCTATTTTTAGTCAAGGTCACCCTTTATCAGAACATTACATCAGTCAGATGTTTATATTTGTGTTGGGAAGGAAGGAAACACAAGTGTTGCGTTGATGCAACGTCAGCAGAAAACGGGTAGTCAATCTCCTTTTTTACTCATTCCTTTCGATGTTCTGGTTCATGTTCTGGCTGCTTTAAAAATGCCTATAACGAGGTATCTTGCATTAGAATAAGCCCTTAAAAGATTTTTTGATGAAAAAACAGATGATGATAATGTTAATAATGACCAGAATGAAACTGATAATGTTGATGTTCCCCCAGAAATTGCAGAGACTAGTGATGAAGAAGAGAATGACAATGTTTTAAATAATGATAATGATATTTTATCAAATGATATTGCTGGGGAAGTTGAAATTCACATAAGAAGTAAATTTCAGCCTTATAACAGCAATGGCAGTCATGCGAAAAATTTTAAAAAGCAGAAAACTGAAAACTTGAAATGAATAAAAAAGGAACCGTCAGTTATGTCTCAGGAAGAAAGTAAAGAAAGACAAAAGAGAAACTATAAACAGTTTTTTTTTTAAAATGAAAATAAGAAAAATATTTTTTCTATTTGTTTCTGTGTTAACATCATAGACACAATTTCATTTTTTCAAACATTAAATTTCTAAGTGAAGTTTTGAGTATAAGATATGTTGATTACAAAAAAAAAAAAAAAAAAAAAAAAAAAAAATTGCAGAAAGATGCATCTGATTCAAAGATATAAGCCAGTAGAGGTGACAATGACTATCTCTGCAGTGCTTATAGTCTATAAATTATTTCCATCTCCCTAGTAAGCACAATACACATGAGCAGCTAATAGTAGTTTTCGTTACATTTCTTGTATCGCAAATCGTAGAAAAATTCAGCATACACTGAGTAACACAGTTCTTTTATGATCAAGCTATGAACACCCATATTTAAACAATATTTTTTAGCTAGATTTGTTTAATGACGATTTTAGTTTTCATACTATCTCTACTAACATTTCATACTAACTCTTTAGGAACTGGATAGTATGAAAAATAAATGATTTAGTATGATAACTACATTATTACATAAAAAGTAATGTTAATAATCAGCATACCACATTGATCAGCTCTAAATCTTTCTTATACGTTCTTTCTGTCATCAGCAGTTCTTTGGCAATAAAATAAGCTTTATCTGCAGGCACTCTCTTGATGAGGGAAAAATATTAATTAGAATTTCAGGAAAATTTGTAAAACACACATATCATAACAATTAATGAACATTAATGACACACTTTATGGACGCAACTGCCACTTTTCAAGAATCTCACTTTAATTAACAATAAACAAACCCATATTCTCTGGCGGCATTTACATATTTCATACTGTAATATTCATTTATATTCCTTCATTTATTTATAATGCAGGCAGGTGATATGTATTTTTATTCCATTACATGTTTTAATTAAACAAATGAATAAATTTTTAATCATAAATAATTTTCCTTGCATTCTCACGTAAATAAAACATTTCCCTTGATAATCAAAATATTTAAAATCAAATATCAAAACCATTACAAATTAAAACTGCTAAAATCATTAATTAAAAATGCTTATCAATTTAAAATGACATTTAGTCATTTTTGGCACATGAAAATCAAAAATCAATATATTTTCCTTAAAAAAACTGCAAGAACAATTAAAATATTTAAGCAAAATATATTGCTGTTCAAAAAGTATGAAACAGTGCAAGAAATCAACATATCTACATAAGTAAATGTCATGAAATAAAAAAGATAAAGAAATTTACAGAAAAAATATATTTAGACTTAAAATCTCCAAACAAATAATGCATTTACACAATGCAAATGTTAAAAACAAATGAACAGAATTTTACATTACAAATCTACAAATTCTAGAATCATCATGCTTTATACAATAGAATATGAAAAACAACAGCAAAGCAATCCCTTCCCATCCCTGATGTCACACTGGAATAGTGGCCTACAATTAATAAGACCACAATAATTAAACAACTGAACAGTGTCATTAGCATTCCAGTCACCTTTTACTCTCCATGAACTCAATAAGAAGACTAAGTTGTGACCAGATCATTCTAGCGTAGACTAGAATAAAAAATCTAGGTAAGAAGCTAAGGCTACATCTCCTAGATAGCTGCAACCTGTATTCATAAAGCCACTTGAGTAGGAAAAACTCTGATGTGACTGGCACATGACCATTCCATGTATTAACATAAATTTGGTGGAATAGCAACAAGCCTTAGGTATACTCTCACTTATGGTTGATTGTTTATAAATAAAATCTAGTTTGTTTATAAACTTTGTGGCTCAAAGCTAATTATAAACACTACTCAAATTCTATTATTCTGTTCTCCTATTCAAGCATGTAACTACAGAAGACACTATACAGTGTGACCACAGTTAATATTATCATTCAGATACAGCCATAGAATTGGTGAAGTCCACTCCTTTATATACGAAAATATGGAAAATACATAATTTATTGAGATTAACAATTCAGCTAATGCTATCAAAATACTGCAGAATAATTTTCTTTAAACTGAAGTTAAATCGCCAAATAAAAAATAAAATTATCAAATAAGCTCAAATAGTGCAGAACTTGCCAAATGGCACAGACATGTGACCAAGTAAGGGATTATGAAGCTAAGCAGCTTGGTTTTGATTTAAGACTACCATGTACAAAGCAGCTCATTTGCTAACTTCTGGAAATTCTGACTGGATTAATCAGAATTATCGAAAAACAAAGTGAAATTCCAGATGACCTTGCTTTTTGTGCCAAAATATCTGCAAAGTATCTTGCATGCCAAAAAAATCTGAAAAGGTTCAAGTTTATAAAGCCGTAATCAGTGATAGAAGAAGATAACTACTAACAGTTTTATGAAATAAATCCAAGAACAACATGTGATAAAATTTCTGAAGAAGAAAATAATGAAATTGGTGATTTTCCTACAAATGCTGAGATGAAGGTTGTCCTATAAATATTAGTTATATTTCTATTAAATCCATTAAATTATATTGATATTTTGAAAGACAGTTTCCCCACTGTTAAACATTATCATTTGGTTAATGTTACGAAAGTAGTTCTGGATAAGCATGATCACATTAAGTGTGTCTATTGAGTACATGGCTCATGTACACATCAGTTCTCATGCTTTGATTTAAAACTATCATATCGATTCTTGTTTATCATCTGGTTATATAATGTTTTAGATTTACAAATCAATCATTTAGTAACAAAAATTTTTAAAAGCAGCATATATTTAGAATTTACCAAAGAGTGTTAAGTGTTGTCATACTTTTTTTTTATACTTGGTATATTATTTACATTTACTATACTACTTCTCAAAGTTAAAAGAAAAGTTAAAAGGACAAAAGTTACCATGAATCCCCCCCCAAAAAAAAATCATCACACACGTAGACACACATCATTGTAAAATGAATAAAATCATGCTGTGGGAATCCTCATTTACACTTATCCACTGAAAACTCATTACTTAATTTTTTCAATATAAAACATTATCCTCTTTACGTATATATATATCTAGGATGGTGAAGGTTAAAAAGAAATCATAAAACAATAAAATTTGATGATGCAGATAGAAATTTTAAAAAAAATTGAGTAATTAAACACATTTTTGTAAACTGCCTTAAAACTAGGAATAAACGGAATAAATTGATGTTAGTCACATCTTGGACAATTTCTGATAATATTGCAATAACTTGCATTTACTTTGATGTTTAAGGAATTGTGTTTATTTTAGGATTTTTTTTTATTTTAAATTCCATAAATCGTAAATTAACAACATTAGTTCAAGATTTATCAATAACCTTCGAATAAAATGTCTGCAAAATAATGAGTAAAAGCATTAAATTTAAAAACACAGTTATGAGGGATGTTCATACACTAAGAGAAACTTTCACACCCCTTTCTTATAAAGCATTTATAAGGTATTTTTCCTGCCTTTTCTTAGCATGCCTTTCTGGTGTAGTGGTCAGCATGCTCGGCGCATATTCGAGAGGTCCGTGGTTTGATTACCAGTGAAGGCATTGTTCATTTTTCATGTCTCCTACTTTGAAATAACCTAATGTCTCTACAGCGACACCCAAACTAAAAAAAAAGGTGGTGGATGGTAATTCTTCACCAACAGGATTTGGCGATTGGGTCCCCTAATCCCCAGTCACCCTTTAAAAGTGGGAGTATATAAGGTATTTCTCCTGCCTTCTTAGCATGCTATCGTGGTGTAGTGGTCAGTATGCTTGGTGCATATTCGAGAGGTCTGTTGTTGGATTCCCGGTGACGGCATTGCTCTCATTTTTCACGTCTCCTGCTTCAAAATATCCTAATGTCTCTACAGGTTCAATGCAACTATAACTTAGCAGGCAAACACATGCACAGTTTAAGTTGCCAATAATAGCATAAGTTTTTCTTTCCATCACTCACATTCGAATCAACATATCAGAGCAGAAGGTTGCAAGAGTATTACAGTGATTCATTAGATTAACTAAGAGAAGTATCATTCTGTCTCATATTTATTCAAGACTTAAAAATCAATTTAGAAATGTCTCTCTCATTGGACTTTGCTCTCTTCAATCCACTTAAACAATTTTTAGGAGAGAAGTGCTAATGCAATGAGAAGGTTATTGATGCTCTAAAGAAGAGTCTACATGCAGACAGAAGGCTATTATCCTTGAATTAAGAAGCTTCTTGTATGGTGGAACAAGAGCATTAGAATGTTATGTACACAGCAAAAAAAAAAGGAGGGGATAGTTTTATATCTCCCGTTCTACTGGGCCGATTCACAAAATTCAAATTGCGTTCTTCATGTCTCGAAAGCGCAACTTAGGATATATATCACATTTATGTATAGCTCTATTCTATTCGTGCTTGTAGGCGTGATTCTTTCCAGCATGGTTCTGCGATATGGTGCATGAAATCCTGACAGAGAATATAACTGTTGAAGACAGGAATGGGAATAGGAATCTAGCAGAGTGTGGGATTCAAGTCCCAGACAATATCTACCATGAAGTAATGCACTGACGTATAGTCAAATGCCTGGTGAGCTCAGGAAATGTGTAGTAGACCTAATTGACAGGATAGCAGTTACCATTGTCAAGTTTTCATCTGTTATCAATCTTATGCTTTCTCATATGTCATAGATTGACATACACTTTGTTAACCTAGTCTGTTAAAATTTTTTATATCACTTATATCTAGTATTCTTTGGTTGCCTACCACGCTTCCGATGATGCAACCCCTCTCAACACCCTCAAACAACAATAAATGTATCTTCTGAGGAAATTTTTGTTTGTATTCTTTGGTTATAATTTATTTTGTTCCTGTATTTACTTTTTCTTATACTACACTTACTCTAAAAAAAATTTACAATTTAAAAAAGTATTATTGATTTTTAAGATATATTAAACAATTTTTCAGCAGTCTTCTCTTATATTTATTTTATATGATTTCTTCCTTATTACATGTAATAGCTTTTACCGATAAAAAAATTCCTTATAAATTTCATTAATAGTTCCTGTTCAGCTATTGACTCCCAATCAAACCCTTAATCACTACATACACCATTTAAAATTCCATCGACCCCCAAAGGATCATTACCATTATATGGTAGCTCCTAATCAAACTCTGCACATAAAAGAGCACGATTGAATTACAATTATTATTACGTAAAGCATCACTGTAAAAAAGGAAAAGCTGAAGTAATTCACAGATGTTTCAATTTAGGCAATTCCTTGATTATTTCAAGTGGTTTGAGTGACCTAATTTAAAATGCATGTGGTTGAAGTAAACATATTCAGAGTCTAATGTATCATGTTTTTAAGTGCACCATGTGAACTTATAAAAATAGACTTACTTTTCTTCTAACTTCTGTGTCTGTTTCTGACCGTGGAGAATGAGCTGTACTGCATTGTTCTCTAAGACTACGAAGGGGTGATGTAGGGGACCTACTCATTTCTTCATCACTAGAAATGCCTCTGGTAGATATAGAAGTTGTTTCACTGTGGACATTGCTTCCGCTTCTGGGCTGGCTCACAGGACTGGACAGGTCTTTAGCTGGAGATTGGTAGGGGGGTGGTGATTCAAAAGCTGTGGAAGACAGCCAAGGGGAATTCTAACTACTATCTATAACTACAGATTGACTACTTAGCAGGCAGGAAAAGTTATGTGTTTAAATATGCATCATTCTAAATTGCATAAAATGATAAGACACAAACAAAAGCAAAATTACACTACTCAAAATAAGACTCAGACAAACATTATTATATATTTCTTAACAAAGCAAACAATATATGCAAAAGCAAGTATTTTAAAACATTATGTAAAGAGCCAAACAAAACATAAAAATATTTCATAAATAAAAAATTAGCTGGATTTAATGAGGTTCGAAAAAAAATTAAAATTTGAAAATATCAAAAAAGAAAGTTACAAAATTAATGAAAAAAAAAAAAACTGTGCCAGCTGATATTTGATCATGTAAAACAAAATTCTTTTTTTTTATGCCATTACATGTTCTATCTCAGAAATGTTTATTTTAGAAATAATACAAAGGTGCACACTAGAAGTATGTTAATATATCGGAATATAATAATTAGAATTATATCTGGCCTAAAGTTAAATTCATTACATTTTGTTCATCAAGGACAAAAGATGGGAAGCAATATACTTAACATTAATAAAACTAATATTTTCTTCTGAACTGCAAAATTTGATGAGATTTATAAGTAAGGTAGGTAATGAGAAACTTATCAGGTAAGTACAAATACTTTTAGACACCTTATGATAAGTGAAAAGAGTACTATTCATATCATACTAGCATAAATCTAAAGAAAAATGCAAGGAGTAATATCTAAATTTCCATTTAATTAAATGCATTAAAAATTACATGATAACTGTTTCAAAATAATCTCTCTCTCTTAACAAACTGTAATATTCTATAAGGCTCAAAATTTCAAATGATTAATGATAAAACTATACAACTACCTTTATATGACAGTTTATAAGCATTAGTTTATGAGTAAATGTAATAAACAAAAATCTGTCAATAACCTGGTAAAAACATACTTTCAGATATACATTATAATAAAACCTGGACTATGAAATTTGTTCTTTTGAGGAACAAATTACTTAAATAACAGGCATAAAAGATATATATCTATTTATGAAGCTAAAAAAGCTAAAAAAATTCTACACTTATTGCAGTCTACTAAAAACAACTAACTATTAAATGATTGACATTATAAGATATTTAAGTATTGCAAGAATATGAAACATACATTTAAAACCTCATAATAAAACTTCTATGCAACTATATGAGTTAATTCATAAAACATGATCATAAATGGGTTTGTACTAGACCAACAATGAATTATAACCAATTTGAATTTGTGAGTATAGCACATAAATTTAAATTAAAAGGAAAAAACCCACGATTATTCACAGTAACAAATGGAAATGTTAAAAATATTTCTTTCATTCTGTTGAAAGACAACCTTTAATCTCTTAATGAAAAGTTTATGACAAATATATAAATATTGCAACAAAAATAAAATTTCTTATATCTTAATGCTTATCTTCTTATATCTTAATTTCACTTCCTTAAATTTGTTTATTTTTCAAAAAGAATTTTTGTAATATCCATTGCATCATTGTTGAAAAGCACCATTTGATACCACTTTTCACATACATGTTATAGATTGAAAGGTTGCATTTTAAGACTAAAACTAAATTAGAATTAATAACAACAATTTTATTTAACTTCAAAACAGAATATGCATTTCTGTGAGAATATAATCTCAAAAAGTGCAATATTAAAAGATTTGTCATCGTAATATAATTCTTTGCAGTCAAAATATTTAAAATTTCACCAGCCCAAATTGGATTAAAATGTCTGTCTGGTTAACAGTTTTCTACAGTTGGTCCAAATCAATAATAGATAATTAAGTGACAATAATTGATAACAGATAATTATAGTAGAGAAAATAGCTCCAAAAGAGATCAAATAACAACTTTTAGATAAGTTATGCTAAAGTCAAACATTCACAAATTATATGCACACAGAAATCATTTTTATTTGTTATTACTATTCCTACATGCATACTTCACCATACTTTCATGTCAAGCTTAAAAAAATGAAATAAAATTTAAAACCCTTAAATTTTTTAATGTGTTTCTTAATTAATAGTTTTTTAATGGAGAAGGAAGAAATTAATTAAGTGGTTCAGTTAAATTTTATCTGCAAAACGTAATCAAAGATTTTAATTGCAGAGTAAAAGTTTGATTTACATAAGTTGAAAAACAAGGCATTGCTGGGCAAAAGTGCTTTAGCAATAATTTCAAATAATTCAACCACTGAGAACAAAAGTAGAAATATTCAACAACAACTAATTCAAAATGATACACCTAATTCAATCATACCAATACTAATATATTTTTTAAAATTTAAATACAAAGAAAATATAAAAGAAATATTTTGAAAGCATATTTAAAAAATGGTCACCAAACTACATCATAAAATGACACTTAATGATATAGTACGCTAAAAAGGTTAAAATAAGTATGAAAAATCCAAGTTAATTTTAAAAAAGGAATTACAGAATAGTTATAAAAACTGAATATTCGGATCCAAAAAAAGGAAAATCAAAAATAAACCAATAAAAAAAGGTTTTAGCTACTTGATAAGTTTAAACTCACTATATTTTAATTATAGCTTTGGCACACTTATTTTTTTAATGTATAATGATGAGCATAAAACACAAATAACCACAAAAGAAGTTATAAAAACCCATTTATTTTCAATACGTAATTATGTACATTAAATAAAGACAGATAAAAGAGGACATTGTATAAACCACTGTATTTTGGTATTTTTAAAATCCTACAGCAGAATTGTAATATAAATACTGTTTGTAAATAAAATATAAAAAAATAACAAAAGCAACAATGTAAATACTTAAAAAAGTTACAGTAGTTTTCAGATTATGAATAAAAATATCACTTGTAAATTTTAGCACTTTTTCATGTTATTAAACAAAACACATATACACAGAAAGAATACACCATCTGAAATGTAAGTGCCTTTCTTCCTTTCCCATGGCAGAAAAACTTATACAAAATATAAATATCAATGAAAACAGTATCATTTCTTTTAACAAAATAAGCATATAAAATTTTACAAAGCAACTGCTAAGAATTACAAGATAAAACTCTAAATAAAAGAATCCCATAATTAAAAAGATTCAAAATATTCCCGACTAGCATTTTATATAGCTTTGTGCGATAAACTTTGTGGCACTTTTTAAATAGATATCAATTTAATTAAAAAACAAATAAAAATACAAAATTAGCAAATAACTAAATTTTTTAAATAAATATTAAATTAATCTCATTCCCTCTCATATGAACAATAAAAAATTAAAAGGAATTACCATTATAAACTTATTAATCTATTAATATTTGTAGTATTTCATATATTTTACTGGAAAAGAATGAATGAAAGTTTTAATATAAAACAGCATGCCCCACCCCACACAAAAAAAATTTTTTTGTGTGAAGGTGATACTAATATCTGCCAAAATGATGTAAATGTTTTCATAGCAAAAAACATTTCAGCAAAGATACCCGTTATTTCATTATAAGATAGCATCATGAATTCAAATTTAGGGGAGTAGGAAATACTTCTAGAATTACATAGCGAGTAGGAAATACTTCCATGATCGTTTTCAGACATAGTTTTATTTCATGACACTGAACCTCCAAATATCTGTTTGTAGATTGTAAGTACATAATTTCTCTTAAAAATGTTCTCAAATTGGTACCTCAAAAGACAAAAAAGTTCTGGTTTTCTAAAAGAAACTCATAATTATGAACTGAATCTCACTAATAAGGCATTCAATGAAGTTAAAAGTAATAAAAAATACTTAACAGTGGGAAGGTCTGCTGATGAAAAGGTAATAGCATCAAGCCTTGTTGAAAACATTTCCATTGCCCATAATTCTGAAAATGTAAGTAAACAAAATACAAAAGAGTGGATGGAGAAAGCTTAGAATAATAAAGACTGAATGACTGTCAAATACTAAGATATCCTTAAAGTAGTAACTCAACAGAAGCCAGTACCATAGTACATAAAGAAAAATGAAAATGTCAGTAAAACACAATGTTTGGCCATGGTAGAGCATTACAATGTGTAAACAAGCTGCAAGACTGCATGATTCACGTACGTTCAAGTTCAATGAATCCCTAACCTGCACAGTATTAGCTACATTATCTGAATACGAAAATGGATGTTAAAAAAACAAAATTGGAAATCCATATATATTATTATTTTAATTAAATCTTATTATAAACAGTACACTGGCGATCACAAACCATTCATTTAAAACTGACAGCAGAGTTCTAATTTTTATGGCACTTTTAAATTAATTATAAAATCATCGAGCAATTTTTATATGTATTTTATGATAACCCATCAATTAACGTAAATAACTGGGAGTTCAATGCACTTTAAATATCACAATTTAAAAACACTTTTTATACTCGAACTTTATACAGAGCCTAAGGAAAATTTATGTAATCTCTTTTACATCAGAAAGATAAGTTCTAGAATGTACAAGCAAGAAAGTACATAAATTAAAGTACTCTAAGAAAGGACATACATTTAAAAGAATAAATGCAACCTTAGTAGAAAATAAGGTAGATTATCATGCCTAACTCTGTACTAAAGAAAAATAAAAGCAAATGGACAAACATTAAATAGTATATCTTTTAATTGCAACAAACTGACATCAAGAAAGGAACAAAAAGACAATTACTATGTTATATATCACTGAATATTACAGAATACACTGCTTTCAGACAAGTATGTTAAAAATGAGATTCTACTTGAAAACCATTCCTGCTCAAAATTTTCCACGTCTACTGAGGTGCTAATCAATGAGCCTCACTCATCACCTTTTTGCTGACACTTGGAATGGAGATGCATATCCTATGACTAGACCCCATAGCCATTCATACATCCAAACCTTCATACTTGTCAAATCAAGGGCATTACTAAATCCTCTGTTCAACAAAACAAACTTGTATAATGCAAT